CGTAATATATACTAAAATAATTATGATCAACAAATCACAACTTTCTTTTTTGCCTTTTAGCACAATTTTCTTCACTTTTTAATGTTATTAATATTATTATCTATTATCATTATCACCATCGTCCTCATCATCATCATCATTATTATTATTATAAACAAAACTTTATAAAAGCTTGCGAAAGGATAAAAACCAAACTGAACCATATACAATTTCACATTTCTGTATCTTAAAAAGACCTGGCCCGGGATTTATGGATTTAAGATTTTGAGTGATCCCAGGAAAGATTTTGTATCGGCTAGCAAAAACAAGCTTTAAAATTTTAACACCCCTGGATATGTCCCTGCGAAAGGCCTGGGTCCAGACATTTCTTTTTTAATTGGCAATTATTGTACATTTATGCATGTTTTGGTGGTTAGTATGAGAACTCAAGAGTAGGCCTCAAATGAGTCTCACACTAACAGATCTGCAACTAAAATATAATATTAGTGATTCTGTATTAATAGATGTGTATAAGAGACAGTATCAAAGTGCTGCGCAACCAGACCCATGGAGATGTCACCAGTACAATTCCTTCAGTTGCTCTCCTTGTTTTTTGGATAAGATATTTAGCCGATGGTTCCATGTTCGATAAGGCCCACGTGGGTGTTAAAGAACTGTAATGTAAGTGCAACGTAAAAACGCAGTACACTCCTCAGAAAAAGAGTAGGGGATTGTCCCAGGTGTGCTGCCGCCTTTAACATGAAGATTTTGTAGCCTAATTCACAATTCAGGACTTAGCCTAATTCACAATTCAGGACTCACTGGAAACAAGTATTTCTTCGCCATTCAAGATATAGTAGAATTCTTTGACGATGTTACAAGTGCACCAGAGTAATTTTAAAACTGCACAAGAAAATCTGTGCAGGAGAATCTTGTATTGTTTCAATAATTAACCATTACAAATGTGTGCGAAAATGTGTTCTCTGTCATTTTGGGGTAGTCTTTTTACAACTAAAAATTTGTTACAATATGCATTTTTTCTTGAGAATAAAAAATATATTTTTGAGCCATGTACGAGGCGGCAAGTACATTCTTTGATTTTATCCCACCTCAGCCCAACCATGGTTGGGGCTGAGTAAGAAAATTTAGGATTATGTCACCTCTATTTTTTACAATTTTGAAAAAATTAGGGTTTCCCAGGCTGGCTGGGCCCCACTGATGACCATAATATTAAGTGATAGGATAGAGCCAGCTAATTTTTGGTGGTTTTTGTCAAGGCTTTGCACCCACCAAACTTTTTTGGAGACCCAGTTTGAGGAACCTTGCTCTGTTACTCTCAACTGGTTGAAATATCACATAAAATGATGCCAATTAAAATTATTGCTAAATAACTACCAGTAGATCAACTGAATAGAAGCCAATTTATCAAAGAAAGTTTCACTCATAAGCATTAAATAGAATATTTTGTAAATAGCATTCAGTTTTCTATATTTTTTGTGTTTGGTAATTGTTTGTACACAGGTCCCTCAACACAATATGCAGTCTTTTAACGCCAACATAACAGTACCAGATAATTTAAATGATTTTTGTGATTTGTTCATATTAATGATTGATTATTATATAATGAGTAAAGATATTTGATAGAAGCTAGTAGATTGTTGAAAGATAAAATGAGGTATGGCTGAATCAGTATAATAGTATCTGCAGCAGGAAGAATATATACAGGGGAGCTTGAGTGAATATCCATCACTCAACCTTTCTCTTTACACACTGTACTGAAGTACTGTACACACATTTCGCAGGGGCATACTCCCGCACCCCCCAGGGTAGTGTTGTCTCGATCAGCCCCACTTTCGGGCCACGCCCTCCCTTTTGGACATCTCTGGATCCACCCCTGGCATTGACAGATAAATTGTGCTATATAAAATACATGTTTTTAAATTGGTAATAATATTATTGGAAATATATAATTTTATAAAAACAGATTTCTCAAAATATTTTCTTTGCACAATCTTATCTGAAGTTGTCTACATGTTGAAATATGTATTTAGAGAAAAAGTATAGAGGAAATACAAGACCTATGTACAGTATTACACTTAAATTTTCAAAAGGACAAGTTTCCAATATTTTTTCCCCAGGGGTGGATCCCCCCCCCCCAACTCAAAAAAAAAGAAGAAAAGTATGGTACTCCAAAACAAGCGAATTTTCTAGTTGAATTCCCACCCACTCAGAATTTGGAAGAAACCAACATCAGGGAGATCTGTTTAAATGAGCTTTTAACAAATTTATTTTGCTGTGCATGGTGAATCCCATCGGCACTCAATTCAGTTGATAATACAGCTAGAAAAACATGCAAATATTGTGAATGCGCAAGATTTGTTATTTTTCCTTGCAGAAGACTCCCGCAACTTGGGGGAAACTTGCGACCCCTGCATGTTTTTCTGGATCGACCTGTTTTTCCTTAAAAAAACTGAAAAATTGTGTGTAGGCCAGCGACGAGTATACTTGTCTCACAGGGTGTTGCTGAGGGCGCTAAGGATGACTATACTTGTCAAAATCGGGGTAACATTTTACATTTATTACTTCTTTGTTATACCAGACTTCAGGCTGCTAGTTCAGGGAAGATACACCTAGACGATAACTTAAAAATAACGGATGTATGTTTGCTTTGTTATCTTGCTGGCAGTACACTCAACTGCACGAGTGTGGGCACCATCTAAACATATACCAACCCATGCAAAAAGTAGACAAGAAAACTTGCACTTGGAAGAAACAATAAGGAATGCTGTCTCAGTGTCTTAGGGGATTATTGATCCCCTAAGACTTTCCTGGCAGTTTATTAGATTTAGACACATCATGTTAATGGTATGCGGCTAGATGAAATTTTTTAAAAGTATATTTGTGCATACTTGGCACACAGGAAGGAACATAAGAAAAGGTATGACAGTCAACATGTTAATAAACTATTGTAATACTTGGTCATACACTTTTTAGGCTTAGTGTGTTATATTAATACTTTTTGTTTTAGTATTATTTGGTATTTCTCTTCCCAAGTGTACATTTCTAATAGAAATATGGAGAAGCTGCTTCATTTGAACTATTGTATAGTGATTTTTGCTTTAGCTGCCCCAGACCAGTGTTGGTAATTGGTCATTTTTATTTTTACATTTGATAGATAATAAAAGTGAAAAGATGAAGTGAAGTAAACTTTCTAAATTATTATTTCAACAGATTATTAGCTTTTTTCACAGAATACAATAACTCATTCACTTTTGGCACTGAGGTTTACTGCAATTAAGTATCTTATGCATGCCTGCATGTTACGCATGCCTGCCTTTGATGCCATATGCCCCATAATCAGGTGACATTGCTAATATCCAGGTCAGCTGTCAGAGGGATGACATTGGAAAAGCTGATGAATTTGTCACAGTTATCATGCGTCACTGGAAAAATGGCAGATTGCAATTGGATTTGTCAATAATCTAACAGATATTTTATGTAATGCTCTTTTTGGCGACATGGAAATGAATTACTATAATTATGCAGTAATCAACAAATATGTTTATCAGTATTTTTTTATGTTTAAGAGATTGGAAGCTACAGTACACAACATACTTTAGCAATTCTGTAATTGCCATTCTATATTGGTCAAATTTTAGCCATTGAATTTAGAAATTTGGGTGAGGCACAAGTGTGCAGCCAATATTTAGTGGCATTACCCATGTCTAACCAAATAGATGAAGATGTACCAGTCAAAATTTATGAAGATGTGGGCATGTAATACTGTATAAATTTCCTATTCCGCAACCCACTATATTTTGTCATTCACATTGTTAGGCCCAAAGGCAAGGCGGTACCACAGGTTTGTTGGTCAAGATTTAGATAGCATTACAGACAGATACAATGGTACCAACAGGTTCTGTTATTTTCCCACAAGAATTAGTTCCACTTAAATTCATTGGTATGCTGTTATCTTGATAAAAATCAATGCCATTATGAGGATGTCAAAATTGAGGGCGCTGTAGTTAAAATGTTTTAAAGTGAGATGGTCTGAGTACTGTGAGGGTGCTATCAGGTTATTTACTGTTTATATTATAGCCAGAACATATAAGTCTTCTGAAAAAAAAGGTGTGTTGCCCAAGCCGACCAAATATACATTTATGTGATCTATGAAACTTGAAACTCATGGGTTCTAGCCTAGTGCTTACTACTTTAACAGGCACAAATGCATGAGGGTGATCATAAGCCAAACAGTTCTAAAGCCAGGCACTCACTGGCAACTCCACTCCCTGCAAGCACTAGACAACGCCACGCTGTCTGCTGATTGCTGGTGGCAGTCTGAACGAATTGTCATTAAAAATGATCAGGTGTGCACACGCCGTGGTGTTCTGGGGCGGATCCAGAGATATCCCAAGGGGGGCCCCCAATTGAGATAATACTACCCTAGGGGGTCCGAAATTTTTGTATTCTAGATGCCTGAAAATAATGTCTGCAGTGTTTTGGGCGATCAATTTTTTCTTTTCTTTCTTTCTTTCTTTATACTTTCCAAAAGGGGGAGCAGGGCCCGCCCCACTAAATCCGCCCCTGGCGTTGCATTCTCCATAGAATCTCGTCGAACGCAGTGAGTACCTGGCTTAAAATTAGGCTTAAGTGAAAAAAAATCGGCAGACCAACCAATCTCATTTTAAATTCTTACTCTGCATGGGAAACATGAAAAAATACAGAAAATACAAATAAAAAATTAAATAATTTACATATTCTTTTATTTACAACTATCATACATCTATAATACAAAGACTGTATTGAAATGCAAAAATTCATTTACAGTATAAAAAGTACCTTCTTGCTAGTACAGTACCTAAAAATTTATAAAATCAAGATTATTACTAAATATTAGAGTAATCTACACAGCAACAAACAGAGGTACAATATTTACATCTTTGCTGACCTGAGTATTTTAACACACCAACCAAACTGGTATTTGCATATTAAGCTATACATTTTCATTATTTGTAAATTACAGGTGTATATAAATAAGATAACGAAATGCGAGCATTAGTCAGGCAAGGTAACGAGGAAGGTTTTTGAACTTCATTGTTTAAATCTGCATTTCCGGTGGCTTTTAATTTCATCAAGGACGTGCTAAATGTGATTTGCCACAGAAATCACTCATTCAATGTTTGTTTTCATGAATTCTTGCAGCGCCACCAACCTTGCGTCAATATCTGACATCTCAGCGCTCCTGTCGTAATAATCATCTAAATGAAATAGAAAAAAAAATATTACATAATAGCACGCATCAAGATTTCAATAAGGAACTGTCAAATCTATAATGTGAATCCTACAGAATCAATCAGGGTAATGGATCTGAATCACATAAAAGTACAATCCATTTCAATGTTGATAAACATGAATAGCTACGTTTTTTAATTATGAAATTTGTGTTCTTTAGGTGTATTTTTCACTAATGTAAACATGCCTTCCAGGCATTAGCTGTTGTAGTTGTATTTTTTACTAACATATAAATAATTTTTAAGTTCAAAAGAACAAATAGCTAAACTTAATAATGTAGATCAGATTCTATGCTTAGTGTCCTTGGGCAAAAGTCAGACACTTTATCTCTTCAACCTGGAATATAAATGGGTTATTCTTTGTTGTTTATCTTATTGACGTCTTTTGACTTTTTATTTTAAATAAATGATTTAATAATTGCAATTTGATTTTTTATCTTTGGATGCTGAATGTTGACAATCTATTTTTAAACATATAATTCAAATTGAAATTTTTGTAAATTAGATAATAATTAAATTTTAAAATTTGATGTAATTATTTTTCCTCTATTTTTTGGGCATCTTGCAATAACTTCTATTTTTTCAATGATTTTTGTAAGTTCAAGTTAAATTTTGAATTTAAAGCACCTTATTTTGCTAGCACCCCCCTCACTTAATTGTCAAGCTCTCCCACTTAAACTTCATGCCAACCATCAACCACACCCACCCTGAAGCCTTACCACTATGCTACACAACTTCTACTCGCACACCTCAGCTGTGGAACCTTTACATGATACGCACATCTGTTGTGGCTTACCTTGATATGTTTTCCTTTTATTGGTTTTATTTGCAAGTGGTTTGCGTACCCTACTGTGATCAGCCACTGGATCTGGGGTACTCATCACTGTGATTGGATGTTAAGATAAGCTTCATTGCTTTATTATACATTATTACTACAAATCCTATGCTTTAAATATTGTTGTTTTGTTTTCCATTGCATATCAACTCGGTAGTTGCAAAAGCAAAATATCCATTGTATCAGTCAAATCAAATCAAATATGCATTTATTTTCCATACAATACAGTAATACAGTAAATAAGAATGCAAATTGTTATATCGATCTTTTCGTCAACCTTTTTTACAGTATTTTCAATACTTTTCTAAGACAAAAGAATATAAAAAGTGAAATAAAAAAAATGTTTATTAATCTAGTAACAAAGGATATCTTCTTGCCTTGCCTACACTGCTCTTCTTGTAAGTCTAGGGAAAGAAATTATGCAATTATAGCTTTGTATTCCATTATGCTCAGTATTCAATCATGAACAAAGAATATAAACCTGTTTCATTAAAACACAATGTCCACAAACAGCACTAACCACAGAACAGCACCACCAAGTATCTATCTTTTTCTATTAAATTGCACTATTGTCACAACTTTGTTAATAAGAAAGGTACCTTATTATCATATAGACAGAAAGTCATAACACAATTTTGGGATAAATAAATACATAATAAAAATCTTTGTAATTTACCACATTTGGACTAACCCAATATGATGAGTTTGGTGTTCTACCATGCTTCAAAACACCTTGTAATTCCCTATTTCAAAAGAAAATGAAAATTTTCATAAAAATAATTAAAGGGGATATTCTTGCAACAAAATCAAGCTTGAACATTAACATATATTAAATGCTTGCGGTACACCATGCAGATATCTATGTGGTGTATTGCAAGCATTTAATATATGGTGTTATTACTTCACCATGCAAACCTTCAAACAATATTGAGCATTAACATACTGTAACGATTGCTACAAAACAGAATAATCCCAGTATACTTTATTTTGATGTAATTATATGTCCAAACATTTTCAGAACTATTGTATGTCTAGTGTATGTCCTTGGACCCCTGTACCTAAAATTGTTTTTTTTAAATAATATAATAATTCAGTGCTACCACTACCTACCAGATACCCATTTATACACTTGGGCAAACATACGTGCCCTGCCCAAAGACATAACAAAAAAAAATCACAACAAAGGTTCAAAACACGATATTAAGGTTGAAAGGCTCAAATTCTACCGCTAACCTGCTTGAGCTTACCTACTTCTGCCTTGAGAATTATCCGACATGTACTCAACATCACTCAATCCAGCAGAGGAACGTCGACTACCCCTACTGTCTACTGAAGATGTCCTGGAGTTACCTGTCAATTGATACAAAATATCAATCTGGTTATAACATCTTTGATGACTTTCACAAGTCAAAATAAGCAAGTAAAAGCTATCCTTAACAAAACCAGCATTCACTAGCTTATATTCTAGAATATAATAATGCTCAAAGGATCAACTGATTTATACTCAAGGGTAGAGAAAGGCAAACATATGCAAGGTGCCCTGCCCTCAATCACCTTACTTTTTCATTATTCCTTTGCTATTATATAAGCTAATGCCCGTAATCTTAAAACAAACTTCAGTCGAACTTCGAACTAGCACTTCATTTAGTCCTAGTTGCAACTTAAATTTAAATTTGTATTCATAAACAACGTAGTTGAAGTTCTAACTACGAATAAATCAAGTCCTAGTTTTAGTTCAGCTGAAGATGGCTGGCAAGGAACGACTATCGAACTAACCAATGAAAAGAGCTAATTTTAATAGCAGACAAAATTTTAGAGATCGGTAACGCGGATGAATATTGAGCTGCCGTCTGTCGTTCAAAAACATATTTCTTCATAATAGACCATCATTCGCTTAATTAATTTTCTATAATAATAACTATATTAATCGTTAACATATAACGATAGAGAAATTCATCAGTCACTGAAGATTTGTTTTCTTTGGAGAAATATTATCGTTAAGCCTGAGCGAGGGCGGCGCCATCTTTGCTGTTGTTACAGTGAAGCTACGTGGCCGCTACAGGATTCCGTGTAAATCAGGAACTATCGTATGTGCCTAGCAAAAGAGGTTAATTTCATGTTTTAAAAGCTTAACTTAATGTCTTTTCTTGAATAGCCAAAGATACATCCAACCTACTTATACAATCGTTTTTATTCTTTTCAGTCTATCGTGAGTTACAAAAACATGTTTTTATTGGGGTAAATATTTCAAGTGGGTGATTTAGCCTGACCCTAGGCTGACTAAAAAAAATGGCCTGCAGAGGTATCATTTTAGTCATTTAGTCGTAGTGCTAGTCGAAGTTTGTTTTGAGAATACGAAAAAGCTCAAACTACAACTAAAGTTCATTTTAAGAATACCAGGGTTAGTGTTCAGTATATGTGGCTCTCAATTGGTAATGATGGTTGAGCCATTGAAACATGTTGTGGTGTAAACTTTATTTATATTAAATGCATTGCAGCATTTGTATTATCAACTGATTATTTGCAAATAGAATATAAACATAGACTCAATTATGGCCTCACTTCTGTCATTCTTTGGAGTCAACATACTCATATTCTATAATAATTTTCAATTTATAATAGCAGATTTTGCACTTTACATTAGGTGCAATCATGAAAACTGCATACTGATGGTGAAAGCTTAGGGAATAAATCATTTAAGTTTGTGCACAAAAGTGCTACCTCTTTTTCATTTTATATGAATTAACTTTTTAAATGTATTCGTTTAAGACTGGTGTAACCATGGTTATTGCCTAAATTTTTACTTCATAATTACTTCACCTGTTTTCCTTTGTGTTCTTGATCTTGACCTCGATCTTCTATCCAGTGAACTTATACCAGATATATCAAATCGTTTTCGCCTTTCTCTGCAAAAAAAAAACCAAATAATAGAAATGCATAAATTAAGAAATATTGGGCTTTATTCGACTGGTTCATTGCGAATCCAAGTACGAATTTTCGTTGAGTATTATTTTCATTTGACTGGTTCGTAAAACAGACTTTGTTGACAACGAAAATTAACGCAATCAGAGTATGTTAATCAGCATTAAGTTATGCAGTTTAGCAACAACATTTGCGTTAATATAATTTAGATTAAATTTCTGAAAATAAAAATTACAATATTTACCCACATTGAAGTCAAAAAATAATTGTAGGCTAACAGAATTCAAAAACTGGATGAAAAGATTTTTTTATGAAAAACCCATACTGCCAACAATCCTAAGCAGCCTTGATTACGCAGTGTGTATCGCGGTAACTTGGCAGCTATTTTGTTTTGTCGAGTATTTACCAGTTATCTATTCAACTGGTCGTCTTCGTTAAGTAGGATTTTACTACAGCGCAGGTGGCCGTGGTTAAACGAAGAACGACCAGTCGAATACGGCCATTGTTGGAATAAGTCTCACACTATCGAGAGCATATATCCAATAAACCTTTCAAGAGTTTCAATCAAACTTAGCAACTGAACAATCAAAACATCGCTAAGATATGCGCTTTTCCCACAAACACGTTTCCCAAAAACGCATGGGTATACACAAATCTTTTTGTTAGCCCTTAGTAACCATATCCAAGGAGACTGCCTAGCGGAAAGGTCCATTCACACATACATTTCACCATTTGTAACAATTTATAACAAGTATTGCTACGTGTGAAGTTATTATCATGTACCAAATCACAGTGAAGTTATTCTTTGTGATCTCTCCAAGGCCAGTAAGGATTACAAGATTCACAAGATGTATGATCACCACCATGATACACAATTAAAAAAATTAAGACAATCATGGCAAATATAACAGCTTGACCAATACTACTACTCAACCCAGAGAGTAGTATAATAGGAAATTATGTTTAGTCAGATTCATCAGGGGTGGATCCAGATATATCCGAAAGGGGGACCAAAAGTGGGGTTGATCAAGGTAACACAACTTGAAATTTTTGTTTTCTAAACGTCCGATAATAACCTCTGAAGCGTTTTGGACGAAAATTTTTTTCTTTTTTTCATAGGCAAAGGAAGGCCAATCATTATAGACATTATTAAGACCCAGGCTCTGGACGTATTTCCACAATAATTTGACAAAATAATAGCAGCAATACTATATAGGCATAATTATGTACTGTAGCTGCGTGTGTTTAGTGGATTAAAGGGCAGCAGAAAAGCAATCGTTTCAGGCCATATCATTACCATCATCTCTATAATTGATATTATAATGATATCAAATGTCAGTACTGTTATCATAGTTATAAGCACCTGTTAAAACAACATCATAATTATTAGTGACTATTGTATATACACTGTAAATTGAATCAACATACATTTTAGACTTAGTTTCTTGTTGCTTTTTTTTCTTGTCTTCAATATAAGCTGTTGGATTAAAGCGAGGAACACGAGCACCTGCAGAACAAAATGGTATTTAAAATGGTTTAAAGGTACAAGAACCTAAAATACAAAATGGCTTAAAAGGTACAATCCAAGCAACTGAAATACACAACAGATTTATGGTACAAGCACCTGAAAAATACACTTCAATTTTTTTCAATGACAGACCCACCCATTCTCTTTTAGGTCTTCATAATATAGGCCTACTATTATGTAGCCTTTGTTTTTAAAAATATGCCCCTCACTTAATCCTTTATCCCCATTAGCCTCTTCTTCCCCATGTCAATACTCTACGCTACTAGATACAGAAAAACTCAGACTCAGACTATTGTTCACAATGCTTGAGTAGGTTTCCATAGAAACACTTTTATTTCTGTGAGTAGTGAAATCAGGCGGAAAATTGATATATTTTTTAGCAATGTCGTTCAGGCCAGAAAAAAATCTTTGATAGGCCGGAAATGGCCTGCATGCCAGGTGTTGTTTATTATATTTTGATTTTAGTTTAATCAAATATCAGCCATTCCTATTGCTTTTATATCATATTTAAGGAAACCTGTTGTTGGTGTCACATAAAAAGCCATAAGGTTTTACCTGCCGGCGAAGGAGACCGACTGCCTATAGAAGACAACGATGGAGTACGTCCTCTAGAAGTAGACCTGTGCCTTGGTTCCCTGGAAAAAGCTCTTTCCCGGGACTTTGACCTTTGCCTAGAAGCTTCACGTGCTCTTTCTTGCGTGCTCAATGACTTCCGAACTGGTTTATGGTGAGACAACCTCGATGGTGGTAAAACTGAAGGAGATCTTCCACTTGGAAAATGAATATAAACAGACTGAAAATTAATCGATCACATACATATTTCTAATATAACATATTCAATTATTTTAGATTTTTCACATTCAAGAAGGCATTATCATTTGCCATTTACTGAATAGATTTTATATGTGATTTAATTGTTAATGCTCAATATGAAGTTTAGGGAGTGGAATTGTTTAACTGTGCACATTAACTACCAAGCTATTGCAGTGTTATTCAGTTTGCTGCTGGGTATGCTTGTCCACTTTGGTTTACTGTACAACCACTTGAGCAACTTATTTAGACCTTTCAGACTTACTTGGATTTGATTGACCTTCTTTGCAATTATTAATTGCAAGATTAACTAAAGTTTTGACCATTATCTTCTGATTTTCTTAATAACAGTTTAAAATCAAGGGCTAAAATTTATCACAAATTACTAGACTTCTTACAGATGATTGTCTTGTTGTTTTTAATCTAAATTGGTATGTTTTAAAGTTTATAGCAGATGCAGTTGCTTTTTCTACATTTAAATTATATCTGTATATCATTTTCAACTCCACTAGAGAAAAAATTTAAACAATGAATCATTGAATGAAAGAGCTCACTCCAATTTACTGAATATGAATTATACAAAAGTCATTTTTTTAATTTACACTGGTCTTCTTTGAAGGCGGTTTGTACCATGTACCATGTACAATTACCTTCTTTTATAAACAGCAAGCTCATTAGTTAGACTCTTCACTCTCACCCTTAAATTTCTCTCACTTGCTCTAAGTTCCTCCACCTAAAATAAACAAGAATTTGATGATTAAGACATATACCAATGCCTGTGTGGCAAATAATAAGGCTTTATTCCCATGTTCATCAATTCCTTCCTGCTATGTACAAATAGAAATTCATCCATGGTGTGGATATTAGTTGTGAAAAGTATTCAGTACACTGTTGGCCAGTGTTGAGGACATTGAACAAATACATTGTTTAGGGGTTTGTTTCTGCCACTATATTTTCTTGATTTTGTCTAATACAATGTATCCAACCATTTTCCTGTCTAGCACAAAACCTTAAGCACCTTCTTACATCTACTGTATACTTAGCTCCAAAAATCCATATAAAGCAAGGAAAAAACAGTTATATTTGATCAAAATAATTAACATGAATGCAGGCATGTCAATGTCATTTGGGTTTTTTTTTTATTATTGTTGGATTTGATTTTATGATTTTATATAGGAAAAAAATGCATGCTTTTGTCAATGTTATTAGTTTTAACTTTTTCTTACCTCTTCCACTAGGTTTTTGAACTCTTGATTTCTTTTGGCTGTTGATCTTTGGAATTTCCTTCTCTCATTTATCAGTTCTTCTTCAGTATTTTTGACGGCATTCTTCAAGATGCGAATTTCCTTCACTGACGAACCCTTTGATGTCATTTTCAATTCTCGTCGGAACTGAAGATATGATGCTTCAAGTTCTTGTTTTTCTTGCAGAAGAATTTCATAACTAGGATAAACAAGTACTTCACATAAAGCTTTTGAAATGAATTGAAGAACTATGTAAGGTGATAAAGTATGTGGGAAAAGCTGGAGTAGTAGGTACAATTTGGTCTCTAAATCTGAAAGCCAGGCTCCAAAGGGGAAAAATGTTGCTATGTTCTACAACTAATTTTTCTAAGACACAAAAGCATATCTGATGAAAAACTGAAGGGAAACTGGCATATCCACCTTCCAAACCACCACCCCCCCCCCCAACTTCAATTTTTAAACATTCAAAAATTTGTACATCATTAACTGCTCCCAAGTTTTTCTCACATATAAAAAAAATGTTTTTCTCCAGAGTCTGGCTTTAAGGATGGGGTTAATTTCCAATCTGAGCAAGAAGATTTACATCATTTTTTTAACTAGGCAAATAGAATCACTGCCAATAAGTTCCATTTAACTCTTTCCAATCTGCACCAGGATGTGGCTGCAGCCATTTCAATAAACAATTATCAAAAGCAATCATGCTTTCACTATTATTTTTACCTTAAAGTTAAAACTATAATAAAAATACCAGAACTCCAATGCATTCGATGTTCGAAACAAGCAGAGCTGTGTGTATGTGACATACAAGATGTCTGTCGTAGATTCAGCCAATCAAAATACGTTTAAGCATCATTTCCAATGGAGCCCTCAATTTAACCATGAAAGTTTTTGAGTACAGCCTATCAGATACTCTACTTGGCTTCTTTTTGAGCTAGGTTGGTTTGATAATTCATTAACATTAATAATAATAATGATTAATGAAAAAATAATAGTCAGCCGTCTTTATGGTTGTATTATGTATACTAATCCTGGTGGCACTTTCTACGGCGGCTATCTTGGATGATACACATACACAACTCTGCATTGCTTCGTCGCCTGTCAGCACTCTAGTTGTTACAATAGCTCTACGATTACATCATTTCCAAAAGTTGACATTGAGGGCAGCAGAGCGCAGAGGTGATTACAATGTAATATTCAAGGCAACCCCAGGGGCGGATCCAGAAATGTCCAAAAGGGGGGGGCCGGAATGGGGGACCGAAAGTTGGGCCAATTGAGACAACACTGTCGTAGGGGGTCCGGGGCATGCCCCCGCGAAATTTGTGTTCTAGACGACCAAACATAACATTTGAGGCATTCTCGGCTATCATTTTTTTCTTTTTCTCTCTTTTTTTTCTTTTTTTTTTCTTTTTTTACCTCCCAAAAGGGGGGGGGCCAGGGCCGGGCCGGCCCCCCCCCTAAATCCGCCCCTGAACCCTGTGACGGTCCATGTTGAAATTGATGGTAAATTATGTGTAATTGTTAACTTAACTTACTCTTTCTGTAATCTGTGAAGTTCCACATTCCTATATTCAGGCTGGAGCTGAAGAAGATAAATATAAAGATTGGACAAAATTTACTAAAGTTGTACAATTGAATTTCTGATAATGAATTTTGAGGTTTTCCACATTTCACCCGCACCGTATGATTTACAGTATGAGATTCAAGAAATGTTATTTGTCCATATAAAAATACAGAAAATTGTGTTGCTTGGCAGTTGAAAGAACAAAAAATACATAAATACAATACAATACAATACTAAAATTCATAAAAGAATACAAGATAGATACATAATAAAAACATACAAATGACAATGAATAATAAAAAGAAAAAACTGTTAAAAAAAATGTTGAAAGGTAGCAAAAGTTACAACCTAATAAAATGTCTTCAAATTATTTAAAACATTATATATAAAAGTTAAAACAATTAAAACACTTAGGATAAAATTATGGCAATAGTAATAGGATTTAATCCGAGTGCCCATTTTCCATAAAATGGCTACAGCAATCGCCACATACTACAAAAATCCTGAAATAGATTATCAGCCAATTAAATGAGTTATTTCTGATATTTTTGGCTGGTAATATAAATTTACTATCAATATCATTATTATTCAATTTATTCACAAAGAATCATACGCAATTCCATAAATCTGTGTATAACCCCAAGATACTACAAGCACAAACAAAAATTCACATCAAATATTCATCACCAGTGCAATCAATTTAGCTAGGTTGGCATATACATGAATTTTGATCCAATTGCAAACAGGTTGTTGACATAGAAAATTTAATTAGATAAATTAAGATGCATATTGCAAATTAAAATAATTTTTAATGCTCTGATGCACTTTAGATGATGAAATATTGATTAAATTAAAATTTGATGAGGTATACCATTTCTGATTACTTTTATTTCTATGAAGGTTAATGGATTATGTTGAACTAAAGCTTTAAAAATTCAAATTACTATTAAATATGTACAAAATCTCAACCTTGAAAGAAATTCATTAAATCTTTTATTTTAAAACAGTATCTTATGTGATAATTTGTTATAAGAACCTATGTACATGAATTAATTTATATTTCATTTTGTTGGCAACGTTTCAAAAGCCACTAGTTTTATGAAAATTTTGCTACAAGCAACCTATTGCGCCATATTTAAGAACTGAAAAAATATGGAATTCATGTACTGTACATTGTAGTCTTTTTAAAATTTTCATTTTAATTCCGATTAGCAATAAATTTGTGGCAAATGCATACGGTAGAATTCTCCTTTATAAAATACTAATTTTTTATTTTCTTTACATATTTTATTATTAGACCTAATTTGACACCCCTACTCTGGCCGTGGTCGATCCACTTGAGATGGCTCGGCCTAGCCAAACGAGGCACAGCATCATAGGCCTTGTGAGGCAAGTCTGTACGCTGGCCGTTCCGCTTCAAGTTCACCAGCCAGAATTTGACACACCCCCATATACTCTGGCCCCTAAATGAGGACTAGTATCTTATAAACATTCCAAAATCTGCATCTTACTTCCAAACAGCACCAAATTCAAGGGTGACTGAGATACATGTAACATTGTCAATGTGTGAAAATTGGCTAGACGTTTTTGAGTTATGCGCCCGGAAGGACACACCCACAGACACGCGCTATTGCAATACCCTTCAGGCAAGGGTAAATGTATACAATTTATATGGTACACTAATATATTACATGAATCCATGGAAGTGATTTAACTTATATTATTTATTTGTAGTTGGAAAGCCACATAGAAAGTGATTATTTTCGTTATTGGCAATCTGGTCCACTTCCTAATATCATTTTTAATTGTATATTTTATGTGTTATTGTGTTTACAATATGTATCTTACACGAATTGACAAAATAAATGAAAAGAAATACATAATCTGTATATTTAAATAAACCTGTATACTGTATTCATATTAAGTTTGCTGTGCAGCGCCGTAAACAAAATACAAACAAATAGACAATAACAGTGCTCGAGTAGAAAAAAAAGTTTGTTCTTTCAGTTGTATGAAAAAGTGTGTCCATGGTGGGATTCGAATCTGTAACCTCTTGCTAACAAGGCATGTATATCATACTTATATGAAAAACCAATCATTTTTTTCTTGTTATTTAATTAAAACCTGCTAACTTTTAGGATTCTCTAAATGAAAAATATGTTGAAACTGGTTTTTGTGGATGACTTTTCCATAGCATATAAGTTTTTATTAAAATTTGTGTTTAGATTAATGCTCTAGAAATTAGTCATTAGTCAAAATTACCTTGAATTAAAATAATGGAAAGCTATAATAAATAATATAACTTAAAAATTGCCTGTTGATGGCAAGAACAATTTAGGAAGATTAACTGTTGTAATGACAATAATAGAAAATGCATTCCAATGCCAATACTTTAATGGTAAAAATAGATATTTATTAATTACTGTTACTATAAATAACTAATAAAAGATAACGAAGTGATCTAAATATAAACAAATGCGTAACAGAACTACTACTACAGCTTAATTACATACCTAGGATTAATATACTAATTTAAACAGTAATATTTGTTATACAACAATTTTTAATTCAGAAAAGTATTATGTAAGAAAGCTAATGACACTGTACGCAAGAAAACTAATGAAACTATACATAAGAAAGCTAATAAAACTGTATGTAAGAAAGCTAATGACACTGTATGCAAGAAAGCTAATGACACTGTATGCAAGAAAGCTAATGACACTGTATGTAAGAAAGCTAATGAAACTGTACGCAAGAAAGCTAATAACACTGTATGTAAAAAAACTAATGACACTGTATGCAAGAGACTAGCTATGACGCTGTATTTAAGAAAGCTAATGACACTGTATGCAAGAAAGCTAATGACACTGCATGCAAGAAAGCTAATGACACTCTACGTAAGAAAGCTAATGAAACTGTATGCAAGAAAGCTAATGACACTGTATGTAAGAAAGCTAATGACACTGTACGCAAGAAAGCTAATGACACTGTATGTAAGAAAGCTAATGACACTGTATGCAAGAAAGCTAATGACACTGTATGTAAGAAAGCTAATGAAACTGTATGCAAGAAAGCTAATGAAACTGTATGCAAGAAAGCTAATGACACTGTATGCAAGAAAGCTAATGACGCTGTATGTAAGAAAGCTAATGACACTGTATGCAAGAAAGCTAATGACAGTGTGTACTAAAAGCTAGTGAAATGGACCTTTGTTCTGACCAATCAGAACATGGCCAGGAGTACATGTTTCACAAGCACCCGTGTTGACCCACTAACGCATGTTTTGGTGTATGTTTATACGCTGTCGTCCTGTGGGACTTTCTGCATTCTGCAGACGATTCCGATCCACTAAAAATAGATAGCAGCTGATAGATAGGCCTAGTTTTTCTCAATGATGTATGAATTACCCTTGTTATCGATGTTAATTAGTAATGGTAGAAAAAGGAGATACAAAAATGAACGTCGGGATGGTATTGGTACGTACTACATGTATTACTAGTAATAGTATTATCAAGAGTCGACAGAAACGTCGGAAGCTACTACTAGGCCTAGTAGTACAGCAGTTGTTAGGGCATTGACTGCTTTGAATGTTACTGTGATGGTGAGTTTCAACAGTCCATCTATGACAGGGGTTCTCAACTAGGCCTAGCCTATAGGCCTATATCGCAATAGAGGAAAAAATGATTCATTGAATAAATTTGAAGGGTCAAGGTGTACCTTACAGACGCGTGTGAATGCTTTATATCTCGGTAGGAATAACTCGGAGGATGGCTGTTACAATTTGTTACTTTTTGTTGAATTTAACTTCACATGTGAATCGGGTATTATTGTTTAAAAATACGGATAATGTAGCCATATAGCCTGATATTCAAGAGAGCGCTGAATCCACGTGTGCATCAGGTCGTATGCTTGTAATGCAATAAGCATCTAGGAAGGAGTTTTCAATGGACTTCATAAATCTGTTTGGTCCGATAAAACTACTTAACCAATCAAATTCATGTTTAGATATGATTTAGAAGTTATGAATAATGCTTTCGAATGGACTTTTCCCCAGGAAAATTAACCTCTTGCTTTTGAAGCTGGAGGGATTTATATTAAAGACAGCTAGACAATTTCAGCCAATTTTACTAATTTTACACTGAAAAAAAAACCAAAGTGTGTAAAATCAAAATCATAGTTGAGTTGAATAGCTTGGTGGTTAAGATGCTTGCCTTCCAATCCCAGAGTCCTGGGTTCAATTCCTGCCAGTTGCAGGATTTTTTCTCACGACCAAAACAACTCCACTCCCTAAATCTCATATTGAGATTTAGTTTGTGTAAAGCATTGTATGTGTAAGGGATTGTCACCTACAAGTAGGATAGTGAAATATTCGCTATTGACAGTCCTTGGCACATGTATTGTGTGCATAAATAAATTTAAAAAAAAAAAAAAAAAAAAAAGTACGATGGTTGTGTTATGAATTCAATTATAATTTTATAATCATTGTATTTAGCACAAAATGTTATAATGTTAACCTTTTGTGTTTGTAAAACAAAAGGTGGAACTTATATTCTTTAGTCTTGATAATCCCATTGCAGCTGATACTCAGCTAAACTAAACTTAATATGAACATATTAAATATGTTTGTCTCCTTTTGCAAATTTAAATGCAATTCAGAGTTGCCACTCCAACATTTTGAAGAATCTGTTCAAACTGCCAAATGTTTTGATACATGCTATACAAATGCCAAAATAATATTATTATCATTACGCAGCAAGACTTCCTATGGCAATGCTTACTATTTTAATGATGTCAATCCCACAACAACAACAAAAATTATCTCATGATTATTAAAATAAGTCTGAAGAAACTGTAATAAAATGTCAGGCAAAATGTCAGGCAATACACAAAACACGTTAATGAGATATACAAATGCCAAAATATTATTATTATTATTATTTATTATTATTATTATTATTATGCTTAAAACTTAAGACTTTTTACAGAAATTTTGTGTACTATTTTGTGTGCGATTTAACTGCCACATGATTTCAATCCCAGAAAAAAATAAAATCTCATGATTATCAAAAAAGTTTAAAGAAATGGTAATAAAATGTCAGAAAATACACAAAAAACCTTGAGACACAAAATATTATTAAGGTGATTAGGGTGGCATTTAAAAAAATATACTAAGAATTAAATTCATGTAATATCTTACCTGTTTTTTTAAATGTTTAATCTCTATTTTTAAGTCACGAACTGTGTTCTGTAAAAGCACGGGGTCTGGTTTGCCTTGGTACGGTAATGGTAAAGGATAGTGGATTCTATAACATAAGATAGACAGTTTAATAATTGATTTAAATTCAATACATTCTTATTCAATAGCAAACATCTTGTTTTTTTATCCTATAGCAAGCGTTACCATTTTAGAAAATCCTTAGCCTTGAAAAAATACTAATTACTGAGTACAGTAGGTTGGTTTTAAGAAATAATTCATGAATTTAGCCTAAGGATTAGTTTAGTAATAAGGTTGTTGGTAGGTATTCTTGTTTTTGTAGGGGTTGAATCTACCGGTATACTTCTTCTCATCCTAAAGGTATTTGAATAGCATTTTAGTTTTGGTGAGGCAGGGGGTAGAATATTTTGTTCATTTTGTATTTTCTTATGTATGCTGCTTGTTTGGCAGATAATAACCCAAGATTGTTTCTGTAGCAATAAATAACTGAATTTTAATCTTGAATCTATCATTAAAACCATTGAAATTATAATGAAAAAATTAAACTTTAATAACATGACATTTGTTCTTGTATAAAAAATACTGGCAAGAAAAAAAAAAAAATATAAGCCACCAACAAAATACCCCATAAATTTTCAAAATAAAAAAAAATAAAAAAAATGTTCATACCGGTCAAATTCAACTGTGTATGTGACAATCAAATAACGTTTGGAATTGAGGGCAGCCTTCTGAGGACCTGGAATATTCCTGCTAGTAGCACCTGCCTTGCGATTCCGTAAAGATTCAAGGTCAGTATACGTCAGAAGGTCAAGGTTAACTGATTCACTAGTCTGTTTGAAGAGAAAACAAATTGATTAGAATATCAAACTTAACCTTGTTATGAGAAAAATTGTCATCATGTACATCTACACATTTTCAAATGGAAGTCTGTTTTCATTTCTTGCTGATCTTGTTGGTGCATATCATTATGGAAAATATAGTGCCTTATCTGTATTTAATGTATTAACAATTCATCATCTCAATCTTATTGAATGTAAATTTACAAGGACATTGATGCACATGAGCTTAACTTGGGTATCAATTATTAGCTTGTTCAGTCAATTATTACAATTACAAGGACCTGATGCAAACAACCTGAAGAGCTTTTCGTCCAAAAAAAATTATGCAACAAGGAAGGGTACACAATTATTTCTTTGTTCAGTTAATCATTATGTCATCATTTCTTCTCCAATGAAATTTTCCCATTTTATTTAATCTTTATGATGCCTTAAAAGTCCATTTCCTGATTTTCATAATTACAATTATTAGAATGTATTTTTATTTTCTTCTTTTTTTTTTTTTAATGATTACTTATTCTGCATTTTTTTTTGTCATTTTTGATTGGTATGCACAATTCCTTTTAATATGGTATGTGCCTTTTTTGTTACTTGTTACTTCTAAGAAAGCCATTGAAAAGTATATTTTTTTGTGACTTTTGAATGTTGAAATATAGTACCTGTAAATCTGTACTTAATATATTTACAATCATCTTAATCTTACATTACAATCATTGAATGTACATTTATTTAAAAAGACCTTGAAGCCCATGAGCAAACAGCTTATCATCCCAAAAAATAATGGAACTATAGTGCCAATTATTACCTTGTTTAGTCAATCGTTGTCATAATTTCTCCTCCAATGAAAATGTCTCATCCTATTTCATTCTTATGATGACAAACAGGTCATTACCTGATTCATTGGAAGAGTACTATCTTTTATTTTTATGTTTTGTGTACCTCTCATGAGGCATGAAGAAGAGCTCTGCACATGTTTACACTATAAGCCTTTTCGCAGTTCCGACTGCGCATGCGTCAGATTGAAGACAAAAAAGTTTCTGGAGATAAAAAACCACACTAGTCTTACAGACAAATTTTCGAAGTATCGAACTTTCTTACCTTAAATTTTGTATATATCATTTCTAGATTTTCAAACAGTAACATTTAAGTGGTAAATATATACTTTTTTTTTCATACACATAGTAGATTTGACTGAAATATTTAATTTCATTGCAAATAAGGTTGTTTGATCTAGGCCTACAAAAGTCGAGTTCTTTCCACAAACCGCACGGTGGTACGCGACGGGAGGTACGCGACGGGAGGCCTGTGCCTCCTATGTAGCTAAGTATGAGCATGAAGCTCGGCGACCACGGTCTGGCATAGCTGCGAATTTTGTATTGATAATCAACTACTAGTCATTTGTAGTATATTTTTTTTTGTATTCATTGATAAGCCAAGTTTATTTTTCAATTGAAAGTCAGTAAAATGGCATTCAATTAAAAACCATTTTTAAAAGCATTTTTAATATTAGTAAATGGATATATTAATGATAATGATATACACTTTAAACAGTTCCTTGGTAAATACAGTTATTTAAAAAAAAAAAATTATTTTGCAATTCATTATGATTTATAAATATTTTAATGCATATACTGTACTTGTTTTGTTTTAGACTGATGATTTAATCATCAATTATGAAGTTGTGTGCAGTAGTAGGTTGCAGCAACAGCTCATGTCACCTAGAAACAACTGGACTGCACAAACATGGAAATAAAAATGGAACTGGATGTTGCGATTGCCTTCCACCATTCAGTTAAAGTTAAAAAGACAAAGATGATTGCTAACTTAAGGATCCATGTAGAGAGAGCAATAAACTGATTGAAGGACTTCCAAATCTTGAACTCTACAATTACTCTCATCACAGTATCTGATGACATAATAACTGTGTGTGCTGCTCTATGCAATTTGCAACCAGATCTAATTTCTTGAATGAAAGTAACTGAATTGTAATTAGGAATGTGTAAATAAAATAAAGGAAAGTTTCTCTTCAAATAAAATTGTGGAGCGAATATTGTCAATTTTCTCTTTTTATTACAATTACTACACTGGTTAAAATGTTTCCTATTACAGTAAAAAAATATGTACATATTTGGAATTTATATTCAGTTGGCAACATACAGTAAATAATTTTGAAATAACTAGTGGTTATGAAACTAATAAAATAATTATATTTCATGGCTAATTGCAGATTTCTTTATTGCATTGTAAATTAACTCTGGGGCAATGAACTAAAAAAAAAATTGTTCAGCTTCAGACATTGCCCTAGTCCACACCTCATGGTCGTATTCAATACGCTGCAAAAAGTAACCCCCCTTGGTATATATAAAAAAAAATCGCACCAGTTTCTTTTAGTTATGCCCATTTGTGCTTGAATTTGATAATAGTATTGATGATTTGGTTTAAGTTCAAGTTTTTCATTTGTAGTTACATACAATGCCTCCATGTTTTCTTCCGTGGGTTGATCAAGTGCTATTGTACGTGGACACTTTATTTCCAGTAGTCCCTTTCCACAAGAACATTCTACTAATGCATCTGGGGAAGCCCCCATAAATATCTTTTTTGGATGTACAAACAACCCACATTCTGAGACTTCAATATTCACATGTCCTTTTCCTTTCAAAATTTTTTTATACAATGATCGTGCTATTGGTTCAGTAATCCTCCCATATTTAAGATTTGGTAGGTTTGGGTCAATGGGGGTATATCCCATAATTTTTTTTTTAATTGGGATGGGACCTTTACTTAAATGTGTATTACTATGGAGAGTCTTATTTCTAGTAACCACAGATTTCAAATTGGAAGCAGTAATACGTCCAGTTCTATATTTTGCCCATTCAACATTCTCTGATTGTCCCCGAGTTACTTTTTCAATGGCCATAATTTCTTCATGAGAGTATGTGGGCAAGTCATTGATAAAATTTTCAGGTGATTGAAAATTGGCTGCAAGTAGTTGTAGACTCTTTGGAACTGCTATGTCATGCATGTTTCTACCTCCACTCCAATCCCTACATTAAAATCCTCCTGAGGGTTATAATTCATGGCTATTGTGGACTCCTCCAAATATTTCCATATAGTTGAATCGCTGCAGCTGGGAAAAAGAGCATCAACTATCCACTGCGCTGTAGGCAGTTGTCTTGAATTCTTCATTGGGTTAAAAAGCTTTCGTGATTCTGTATTAATTCGTGCTGATTTCCTATATTGAAAAAAAAAAAGGGAAAAAAATCATTTGTTAAAACAGGCTTATTTCGTTAAATATCATCAGCAACATCAGGTTGCCTGTTTATAATAATTTACATGTTTCAATGTACTGATGTTTAAGTTTTACATATGTACTACAGTATAACAAAAGTATGCCTTGTCAAAACAAGTTGCTTGTGAAGCACTGTACTGTAGGTTAATCACGATTTACACAAGATACATGCAAGGTCAATTTACTATATATTGTACAGTTGTTTTTATGTTTTTGTAAATTTTTTATTTTGTAGAATAAAAAAGCCCATACTCTGTTTATAGTAGTTTGACTTTGCCCATTGCATGTCAGACACTGGTTTACCTTTAATTATTTTCATCCTTTTTGTCCCTCTGTAGACATTCCAACTGCAAGTTTTTGATGTGCATGGTACTTGGTTCTTGGAAACACCAGTCATAAAAGCATGATCCAGCTTGAAGATCACGGCTGCAACATGGTTACATGAAGAACCAAGTCTAAAAAGAAATATAGATTACACAGTCATTTAAATTCTAATATTTACAAATCTAACTTTAAGTTTACATAGTTAATTCACAAATATAATTTATATGTTTTTTTCTTTAAATATAGAAATAATAACCTAACAAGAATATTGTATTTACACTCACCCTGCAAACAGCCACAATATGCACTGCACATTTTCCCCGTCTTTTTTCCAGAGCAAACCATACAGAATGTGGTGTATTCTTAATTGCCTGTGATGGTGTACATTGTGCCTTAACAAAGCAGATATTGCTGTCATCCAAAATATTATGATAAAATATTTCATGAAGCCATTTATTATCGAAATAGCTATATGCTTTCCCTTCTTTGTAGTCCGATAACAGTCTACTTTTAAGTGAAGGTGTTTTCGGTTTCCTCTTGGTCGGTTCACTAACACAAGGTGCCTCATTTAGCAGCCAATCTCCTATCTCGAAATAGGTTACAGGGGGCCAAAAAATCACCCCTTCCTTTTCACTTACCACCCATCTTTTAATTCATGAAGTGGATCCAGTAGTTTTTTACCATATACGTATAGTAGTTCAGAATATTGAAGACACTGTGATCTTTCTTCGGCTCCATCCGGTTTGACCGCATAGTTAAGCTGTGCAGTACTATACACAAGGGCCTGGAGTTCGATTTTTCTTCCCTTAGTTTTCAGTCCCCTCAATCGCAAATAGGAACTTTCCACAATTGTAGTTCATCCCAAGTGATACTAGATGTACTACCATCCATATTAAATGATGTTTTTAATGTATTTGTGAATCTCACAAGACAAATAAAGTTGAGATAATCTTCGATTCACTAAAACAAAACACATCGTATCGCGTGTGTCAGGGTATGTTTATCTCCAGTAACCTTTGACCGCGTACTTCTGTTT